CACAGACCGTCGAACCTCCAAGAAAGGGTCAAACGCGGCACTGATGGCCAAGAACGGACCTGGAAAGGGCCGTAAGCCCTCAGGAATGAACCAAGCCGGCGCAGACATAACATGTTTCAACTGCGAATGCAAAGGACACTATAAAAGTGACTGTTGGAGACCTGGAGGGGGCAAAGAGGGCCAAGGGCTGAATCAGCAACGCCAGAAGAAAGGTAGCTGTTCGCCTAAGGAGGGAGCTAATGCAGCAACCTCTGAACCTACCCCACCAGAGAACTTCGCGTTTGGAACATCCAACCTGGCTAGCATAGCCAAGGAACTGAACATCCCTGTAGAACGACGCAGTGCCATCATTGATTCAGGCGCCACATCTCACTTCTGCCCGGATCGGTCCAAATTTGTCAACTATGTCCCCATAGAGGCACAGGACGTGGATACGGCCGATGGATCCACCATTAGTGCTATAGGCAAGGGAGACGTCGTGTTGGACTTACCAAACGGCAGAGACCGCACTCGGGTGACTCTCAAGGACGCGTTGTATAGTCCCAAGATGGCCTTCACGCTCATCTCAACTAACAGGATCACTGTGGGAGGTTTAGCCATCCACTTTGAGGACAAGATGTACAATATTTTATCACCTGCCCCCAAGTGTAGCGTTATTGCCACAATTCCCCAGATCGTGGGTCTCTATAGCATCGCTGGACGGCATCAGCACCACGCTAACATCACACGAGCAAAACTTACCGTCTATGAGCTGCACTGCATGCTGGGACATGTCTCTCAAACTGCGGTTCTAGAGGCAGTAAGAAAGGGCCTGATTGACGGCGTTGACCTAGACCCGAACTCCAAGCTGGAGTTCTGCAACACGTGCGCTAAGGCTAAAGCGATGCATAAGCCATTCCCAAAGGATTCTGAAAGCCGAGCGAAGACGTATGGTGAGGTCATCCACATGGACCTATGGGGTCGAGCCAGAACCGAGAGCCTAGGTGGTAGCCTTTATTATATGACCTTTACCGATGACTTTACTCGACAGAATAAGGTCAGCTTCCTTGCACACAAGAGCGATGCGCTAGAGACGTTCAAGGCATATGAAGCCTGGTTGCTGCGGCAACGCAATGGGATGCACGTCAAGACCCTCAGGTCTGACTGCGGAGGAGAATACTTGAGTCGAGAATTCGACAAGTACCTGAAGGAAGAGGGGATTCAGCAGCAGTTAATGGTGCGTGACTCACCACAACAAAACGGAGTGGCCGAATGCCTCAACCGCACGCTTGTAGAGCTAGTGCGTGCTATGATCCTTGCCCATGATCTCCCGAACTTCCTCTGGACAGAGGTAGTTAACTATGCCACTTGGCTAAAGAATCGCTTACCTTTGCATGCTATTCCTGACCACACCCCTTTTGACTTTGTCCAAGGACGATGTCCATCACTCTCACAGGCCCACGAATTCGGCTGTACCGTGTTCGTTCACGTAACGACAGGAGGGAAACTGGACGCTAGGGCCAAGGAAGGACTGTTTGTTGGGGTGGATGAGGAGAGCAAGGCCTATCGAGTATACTGGCCGGGTAAGAGGCGAGTGTTGGTTGAAAGAAACGTTAGCTTCAGCCCGGTGAGTGTGACTGTGGCAGCGGACGTACTGGACGAGGGGGAGTCCAGAACGCCACCAGCAGCTCCTACCAACAGTAACGTCCAGAACGTCATGCCCCAACCACCCTCCACACCGCCCAAAGTGCCTCAACAACTCAAACCGCCGCCAGCGCCCAGAGCGACCTGCTCGTGACCTCTGCCTGGATACTACACCACCCTGCACCAGGGGGAGAGTGCATCCTTGGTCTTCCACCCTGCAGAAGCAGACCTAGTGGATGAATACGCTGCAGCCGCAGTAGAACCCAAACCAACTCTCCAACAAGCCCTCAATGGCCCAGACACGGTCGAATGGCAAGAAGAGATAAGTCAGTTGGAGAAGCTGGGAACATGGGAAATAGTAGACGCACCTCCCCGTTGTAGGGAGTATCCCTATGCTAGGCTTGTATCCACCACTTTTCCGATGCATCAGGCATCCATCCGATGTCCATCCGACACCTATCCACTCCATCCGATACCCATCCGCTTTTTGGATGACATGCAGATACCTTCGGATCTCCCCCTATAGCTTGCGCATCCGCCGCATCCGTCCTGTCCACGTCCATTCTACCTCATTGGTACGTACTCACACGCATTTTCTTGTTACTGACTGAACACAGACATATCCTCTCACACTCCAGTATTTTTCGGATAGCTTATGGCATGGTCTAGGCTCGCTACCTATGTATCTATGTTCCTTGAAAATACTGTACCCTATAAGCATGGAGGGTTTCAAAAAATACTTACTTCATGTAACTTCCTCCCACTTTTCCTGCACCCTACCAGAAGATCGCTTTGACCTATACCCACTATCCATCTAACCTTTAATGAACTCCCTTTGACTTTGATTCGCATCCCGTCCGATCCGCAAGTGCCATCCGCTCCATCCGACGAATCTGTACATTTCGCATCCTATCCGTTTCATCCGCTTTTGCGGATCCTTCATCCTATAGGGTCGCTTTAGACAGAGACTAGTGTTTCCCCAGTAGCAATCCCCTTAAGGGTCGAACATGCTTGTTTCCAAGCGAGGCAGCAGGCAGCAAAGACCCAACTGTGTAGTTGATTGACTTCACTCCGCTGCACTTGTTGTACCCACACCGTGCTAACCTTATACCCTGCCATTACGTCCTGGCGACGAAGAGAGGTCCCGGAGGCAAGAAGTTGAAGCTGCGAGCACGGTTGGTGGCTAACGGGCAGTGTCAGCAATATGGCGTTGATTATTTCGACACTTTTGCGCCCACATCCAATATGTCAACAATCCGCACTGTCCTTACAATGGCCGCCCAGCAGGATTGGGAAATCCACCAAGTTGATATAAAGAGTGCTTACCTCTATGCGGACATTAAAGAGGAGATCTTCATGCGGGTGCCACCAGGGTACTTGAAGGACGGAGATGAGAGAAAGGTGTTGAAGTTGAAATGGAGTTTGCCGGGGTTGAAGCAAGCCGGGTTTGAATGGGCGGAAGAGTTAGCCGGGGTATTCATGAAGATAGGATTCACATGCTCACAAGTCGACCAAGCAGTGTACTTCAAGTGTTCCCCGACCCAGCACATGGTCGTCACTGTATTGGTGGATGACATGGTGGTCACGTCTAACCATATCAGCCATATCGAGCGCTTCAAAGCCCAACTCCACGATCATTTCAAGATATCGGACCTGGGAGAACTTAATTGGCTTCTAGGACTTAAGGTCGAACGCGACCGTGAGGCACAGACCATCACCCTTTCTCAATGAGCGTATATCGACACTATCCTTGAATGGTTCTACCTTACCGATGCAAAATCCGCACAAATGCCTATGGACGTAGGAACTGTCCTGTCAGCCGACCAGTGCCCCGCGACACACACCGAACACAAAGCCATGCAAGACGTACCTTACCAGCGGGCCATAGGGTCCCTGATGTACGCTGCAACCAGTACTCACCCCGATATTGCATTCTCAGTAGCTACGTTGTCTCAATTCATGCACAACCCTGGACGAGTGCACTGGGAAGCCAACAAACGCGTTTTTCGGTACCTTAAAGGTACAGCCAATCTTGGACTCACCCTAGGAGGCACAGATGCTGGGATCGAAGCGTACGTTGACGCGGACTGGGCGTCCCAGCTGCACAGACACTTGATGTCGGGCTATGTTGTTATGCTAAACGGAGGAACCGTAGCATGGAGCGCGCGCAAACAGCCGCTGATAGCACTGTCAACCGCAGAAGCTGAGTATATCGCGCTCACAACGGTAGCACAAGAAGTGCTCTACTTACAGTTACTCCTTGATGAACTCTATGGACCAGTTGAACTTCCCACCCCTGTATATTGCGATAACCAAGCTGCAATAGCTCTCGCGTCAAACAACAAGTTTCATTCGCATACCAAGCATATCGACTTATGATACCACTTCGTCCGTGTGCATGTCAAGAACGGCACATTCGCACTCGAGTACTGCCCGACGGAAGATAACATCTCAGATGCCTTTACCAAAGCATTACCCCATCCCCGCCTCCAGAAGCTACACGCTCAGATGAGCTTAGAGCCTTGTGCTCGAGGGGGAGTGTTGGAATCTGATGAGATGAAGGAAACGAAAGACGGACCATAGAAGATGAGAGTGAAACAGTATGAGCGCAACCAGTGAGTACAACGAGGCGACGCGTTGACGTCAGCCGAGGCTCATTGATATTGGAATGTCTATCTCTAAGTAACGGACAATTTACTTATCACTTACTTATCTATCCTATCTGTACTATAAAGGACCGAACAAGTCGTTAGAACATCTCAGGTCTTTTCATAGAGCCTGAGATGTAAGTCTCATATATTTTTCGCATTATTCTAAAGAGCTAACATACCATTAGATATTTATTCTACTAGGTACTTTACCCACTCTTACTAGAGGTCTTTTCATAGAGCCTGAGATATATTTATTCTACTAGCTCCCGCTTTGTGCGCCGCTCGCCTGAACTCACTTTAAAACGAACCTGAAGTTGTTGTGTTTCTAAAGGTAAGTAGGTATCACCTCACATGTCTGTTACATGCACGTGATCGCGAAGTGCCATCAGCCTTCTTCCAGCCTTCTTCCTTCTACCAGCCTTGCAGGAGTTCTGCAAAAGGCTTGCCCAGCGATGAAATCACTTCAAATTTCCTCGATTCATAGCCTCACTCTCCTTTCTAACGCACCTTATTACATAAGAAATGTTAGACTCTGAATCAGGCGAGCGCACTGTTCAGAGTGCTCTTCCTCAAGGGCAGCTGGAAATGTAGGTCCTTCAACCCAAATCTGCATATGGAGTATAATGTTTGCTATACAGTACCAAATCCTTGTTGCACCAAATTCGGGATGAGCTCAAGCAGCCATGTACTGCCAAGAAACCACCCCCTTTGGATGATTTAGATGGCTTCTGGGATGCATACAATCAGGAAGCGGAAGAGTTCGACAGAGCGTTCATTGAGAGATATACCTCGGATTTAGACAATGGTCTAATTTTCGTAAGCTTTTCTGACCCATATGATGCACCCTCTTCTGTTGAGTAAGTATATTCTTCAGGCAGGTCTTTTTTTAGCTGTCAGTACCACTTTCTTAGGGATAATGCACCCTAACCTAAGCCCTGCTCCCACTGACACAACAAATGCCTTATTGATGATGATATACTCTCAACTCAATAACACCACGTTCCCAGGGCAAGTCTTTAGTTTTCCCTCATGGGATGGTCCCATTTGGGTTACTATTTGGACACAGGCTCTCCTCTATGCCAGTCTATCTGTCAGCCTTCTAGCTGCTCTTGGAGCCGTATTGGGGAAGCAGTGGCTGAGGGACTACCGAGACAATTCATCAGGACCTCGTGAAACTCATCACAAAAGGCGACAGCTAAAAGTCAACGGACTCAAAACTTGGCACTTCGAAGCAGTCCTTCATGCTATACCTGCATTTCTACAGATTTCTCTGTTGCT